TGTACAATAATTTGTCCGTTTGACGAGGATTTAGCTGTCAGTAAGGAAGGGGTCAGATTAGGGAGCTTGTAGATTGTGGGCGCAATCTTGCGCCAGGAACTAGAGCTTAGGATAATGGGAGGAGGTCKGATCTTTGGTTGAGCAGTCGGAGGTTGAGTGGTTGTTGGGATGGTAGTGGCTGGAGTAATGGTTGGAGGGGTGTCAGAACGTATGGAAGAAGTGTAGCTGGAGTCAGAAAGGGAGTCTAAAGTTTCGGAGTYGGAAGTTTTAGATGGTGATGGTGACGGTGGAGAGGAACGCTGGCGGGGGAGCTTTTGGGCCTGAGGTGGGTGATAGGTGGAGCTACCACCTTTACGCTTCCGCGGCTTGTTGCCGGTCATGCTTAAAGGGGTAGTGAAAGTCCTGTCGTTCTGAAAAGAACGTTTTATTGGGGGGGGAGGGGGCGATGAGTTTGTTGGGTAGGGAAGTTCTGCGGCAGTGTGAGGGCGCGGCCCCACGACAGTTGGCGGAAGGAGAGTGCCGGCGCTTTCGCGACGGATTACTTGAACTTCAGGCGCTGATGCCTCGACGGCGTGGGCGCTGGTGCCCTGTTGAGTCGTTAAAACGACTGTTTTGGTTGGCTTGGACAACCTGGGCGCTGTTGCCCTGTTGATGGCGCTGTTGCCTGTCGGAGAGTCGTAAAAACGACTGTTTTATTGGCGCTGTTGCCTGTTGAGGTGGTGGTTGCGTTCAACGAAGAGCCGGGAGTACTGGATTGATGTACTTGTTGCTGCTTCGAATGTTGAACGTTGAGTGTTGCCTGGTTGTATGATGATGAATGAAGAGATAATGATATAAAAATAGGACATTTGGTGGCTTTTATTATCAAACCTTTGTGAAATGCTGTTTGTGTATTGGCGAAAATACTTAAGTTGTGRCAATATAAACAGGGTGTTTTGTTGATTTGTTTCAACTGAATATAGTATATTTTCAACTAGTATATTTTATGTTTATGCCGATTAAAAACAACATAGTTCCGCAATCATTGTTGATTAAACGGTGTCATTTTTGTTCGTCATAGTATGAATCACTTGACCAACCATAGAATTGTTAATCAATTTTGTCTATAAAAGGAGCGGACAGTGTGTGTTCGACATCATTGAATCTTCACAGTTAGTATCAAGCAGTCTATCGAACAGTCAAACATGAGCGGACGCGGTAAAGCAGGAAAAGCAAAAGGAGGAAAATCCAAGACCAGGTCGTCCCGTGCCGGACTCCAGTTCCCGGTCGGCCGTATCCATCGTTTGTTGAGAAAAGGAAACTACGCCGAACGTGTCGGAGCCGGAGCACCGGTATACCTGGCCGCCGTCATGGAATACTTGGCAGCCGAAGTTTTAGAGTTGGCCGGTAACGCCGCCCGTGACAACAAGAAATCCCGTATCATCCCCAGACATTTGCAATTGGCCATCAGAAACGACGAGGAACTGAACAAATTATTGTCCGGAGTGACTATCGCCCAAGGAGGTGTGTTGCCCAACATCCAAGCTGTTCTTTTACCCAAGAAAACCGAAAAGAAAGTCTAAATTTCCTACCCAACCCTGTTCCTAAAATTAAAAAGGCCCTTTTTAGGGCCACCAAATCAATGTATTTATAATATTAAGCAACATTTCCCAAACGATGTAAACCGAGCATTTTAAGTTAATCATTTTACACTAATATTAAATGATTTAATTGTCGTACAAATCTCATCAACCAAGAAAATCGGCTTCGGTGGTTAAATTATGTCACAAACTCACAACACCAGTATTAAAAATATATATCATACCCTCATTAAAAAGGCCTGCCAAATTTTTCCAATCGAGTTGTAGGTATTTCCGAGCCAAATAGTCAAATCTTATTTTCAACTTTCAAGTACAACATGTATTAATTAGTTTTATTTTGCTTTGAATTTCGAAAGACTTAAATTATGTACTAGAAATTAAGTACATTCACACACAAACTGTGAAAAATAAGTTTTTAAGATAGATACCTCATACTACTTTTTGAATTGATATTTTGTGTTTTACTTACATTTATAAACAAACTTTATACTTTTATTAGTACTACTAAATTAGTATAATATTACCTTTTTTTACTTAAAATAATTTTTCAATATTAATTGCTACACTCAAATTGAGTTTCATGCCTATCATATAATATTCAATCATATTACATAACTCTTACTTAGTTAAATTATGTTACCTAACTAATTATTTTAAGAAAAATTAATTAATTAAATATCTTCATCACTACAAACATATAGCGACTACAGTGAATCAGTAGGTAAATARAAAAAATTAGTATTAATATTAAATAACTAAATTCATCATTGATACTTTTTTTTCTTTCATTCATGGTAATACTTTTTTTTTTTATCAAATAGACATTATTAATGATACTTATTGATAGTCACTACAGTTGTAGTTTTAATAAATAATTTTATGAATGTATTTATCAAGTATACTGCCATATAGATGTGAGAAAGGGCAAGCCGCAAGGATTACTTATAAAGTATCTAAATGTCGTTGATATTTGGATACCAATTCATTGTATTTTGTCAAGACTTATGAATTTGACTGTGAGTATCGTAAGTGTACCACAAGGTGAATCTTACATGACCATGTTATGAAGATAGCCTGACTGTGTATGATTATGTTACTTATGGATTYAATATCTTATATTTGACAAAATTCCATGAATGTTGAAAATTCTTTATCTAATGCCAATCTTTGACGTTGATATAGTTATTAAAATCACAACTTACTTTTTTTTACAGACATTAAACTTTTTCAAAAACATTAAAATAAAAACATTTTTTTATACTCTTTTTTATTGAAATTATAATTGGTTGATACAATTAATTTCATAATTCACACAAATCATATTAAAATAATGTATAAGTTATAACATTTATCCATTTCCACTAATATGTAGTGCAATAATTTATAACAAACTGTCCATGTTTATGACTTAAACAACGACTTAATAATTACCCTAATATGTTAATGTATTTATTAAAATTTGAAACAAAAAACAACAATAAAATCGTACATTCAAAAAAATTAAAACTAGAAAACAAAGTGGTTTACAAAACTAGTACGGGGATACAAACGTAAATTTCTGCTTATAGACTATTATTGTTATAACTAAACAGGTAGTAACCAATTGACTAGAAACTATGTGAATAATCTGACTAGGTATTAATATAATGTAATGATAATAATAATAACTCTGTTTTATAATGTAAATGCATTGTTGAAAATCGGAGAATTTGGTAAAGTTAAGGAAGCAATAAGTAAATAATGGTACAGAAAGCTTAATTTCTAGATCACTGGAAGAATTTTAAAAAAACATCAAATATATAAGTTCCCGGGCAATGAAGCAACTGAGCACCTCCAAAAAACAAATAATATTAYATTTTATAATAACAATATTTTTCAACATCATAATTACCACAAAACAAAATAAGTACTAGGTACTTAGTACTACATATGTCATACAGCTAATGATTAACCCTTTTTCGTAGAAACATTGGTAATACATACAAAGAGAAAAATGACGCTCTTAGGATCCAGMAAGTGATAATAAAAATAATTATTAACAAAATATAGTTTTAAAGAAACTTGACTTCATATTAATAAACAAATAATTCAAGCTTCATGGAAGTCTAATTCAGGTGCAGTATAAAAGAAGTCTTTTCCTTTACAAATAATATTATATCAATTAATCACATACTTGTGTTGTGTATATAATACAAAATAATGATTTAAAAAACATAAAAGCAGCCATAATTGACTTTATAATAATAAACCTTCTTTATTTAAATAAGGCATATAAAGTTTATTTGAACTCCATCAAACTAATCATTAAAATTACATTGATGATTTGTTTTTACTCAAAATACATAGATGATTGGATATACAATGCCTACTGGTATTGGTTACAAAACGTTTTTACTTTTTTTTTTTTTTGCACCCAGATAATGTATTGTAGTAACACATATTATATTACAAGTATAATAACTAATTGCTCAGTTGGTTAAGGTAAAAACCTTACCAAATAATGATATGTGACCTAAATTTGTTTGTTATAAAATTATAGATTATACTGTAAACAAATTTAAACACACATATTATCCTTGGCAGCAAAATCACACAACTATTCGAAACTTTAGTAATTGTGCGTGTTTGTATTGGAAACTAAATCATACACGCATACATAGTTATATGTGTATGCAAAATAAATATATATTTTGAACTTAACATTAAATAAAGTAAAATTTCAATCATATATGAAGTTAAAATTCAATTTGAAAACTGTTTAAAATAAAATTCAACAAAAATATAAAACAATATAGTTTCCAAACTAAACACATATTGCATGAGCATTTACCTAAGAGCTGTCAAATGTGTTTGTGTGTGTATATATATATTTATGTGTACTTAATAATATATTATACTTAAAAGTAAATTAGTTAGAAAGTGTATGGAAGTAAGATGTTTGAGTCATAAGTCTTCAATTCAGTATAGAGAACACTTCAGTCCATTTTTAATGTTGGAAAGTTTTTAGCAACTATCAACTGTTCATGAGGGAAGTCCAGTGTAATAGTAAAGTGGAAAGCCATATTTGATACTGCCAGGACGTACTCGCTGAGTGCAAACCAGGTGAATGCTGAAACAAAATTGACAAATCATAATAATCAAAGACTATTGAATTTTTTTATATGGGGTTATTGTACCTAAGTCGTGGCAGTAGAACCGATGTTTGATAAAGTAAATTATCAATGTGAACGTCGAAGTGATACAAACAGTGAAAAGTATTTTCTTGATGGTATACGACAGACGCTGACGATCTGTCATCGTTTTGTGCACTTTGTTGAATGTCTTAATCATGACGATCATGTACAATAACGAGCTGAGCATGAACAAAATGAAGATCTTCTCGTGCACGGCTAATGAACAAAACGCGGGGGTGATTTTTGTTAAACAACAGAAGATAAAATATTAATAAAATAAACTCGGATACGTACGATAGTTTTCTCTGTTAGATATGTAGGTTACACCACAGATGGCAGCTATTTCAATAAGATTGAGCCAGTAGCAGAGGTTGATGAGTATGTAACAGGTTGACTTGTCAGCGGCTTTAGACACCTGATTGATGAAATAGTTGTAGTACACCTGGGCGATTACCATACGCGGTCCAACATGAAAAGCGACAGCTATCCGCCACATGTAAGTCTGGGGTGTCACACCAGTGATGGCACTAATCGACGGTATCACATTATATACCTGACAGGGCAAAAAAAAGCATCAGTTGAGTAAGCCACACAACAATGTAACATGTAAATCAGGGGTCAGGGGTATCCATGGCCCTTCATAGTTTTTTTTTTTTTTTGGTGGGGGGTCATTTTTGAAAATAATATACCTGACCAAAATATACAAAACTATATAATTTATAACAATAATTAATATTATTTTAATTCAAAAAGAATTTTTTTTTAATGCAGCAAACCTATATATGAGTCAAACAACAATTGAAAGTGGAAAAATATTAAATTTTGAAATTTAAAATGTATTAACTTCAATAAATAAATATTTATTAAACCCATCAATAATTAAGAAATAAAATTATTAAAACAATTAATACAATTTTACAATATCAAAAACAAGTCATAAAAATAAAAGTTAAGTTATAAATAATAAAAGTTACCTATAAAATATAAATTAATAGTAATTAAGATAACACTATCTGCAGAGTTTAATAAATTTAAACAATAAAGTTAATAATACTTTTAAACATTAATCATAGACATAAATCACTAACCTAACCCAACTTAACCTAYYTAAATAAAATTAAAAAATTTAATACCAAATTTCTAATAAGTTTTCTGTCTAAAACAAAAAAATAAATAAAATTACTGGAAAGTCATATTAATTTTTAATATCTGTTTTGCAGTCAAATTTTTACGACATTGAAAACAATAAATTACACAGTAAACTAACAATTTCTTATCGAACGATTTTCTTAGTTGGTTATAGGAAATTCTAAAACGAACTGAACAACACATATGATTAGCGTTATATTATTGTTAGGTGCAAAATATAATTTGTTACTTCAATGGTTCTGGCGACTATAGTTAGATGTTAGAAAGTATCATTGTACAAATAACGCTTACCAAATCAATTAAATCAATTCTGTATAATATGAGTAGAATAAACCTTTAACCATTAAACAATTATTTAAGTACATATACATCATATTCATATATATATATATGGTAAGGACATAATTAAGAAATTACARCCGTAAATTAGTAATAACTAAATTGAAATATAATGATGATTGTACATAGTTGAAAGGACCCCTCCTCGACAGTGGTGGTTTTTAGGGGGGCGATCGCTTCTCCCTGGGCGATTGTTATATAATATATATTATTTAACAATGTAACACGTCTTGTCTTAATTCCTAGATAGTAATTTGTATTTTATTAAAATTAATATGTCGGGGTTTATATTTTGAACTGCACCCCCCCCCCTCACCCTTGAAGTTAGATCAAAACCATCATGACCCCCACCAAGTGACTGGTGTCCCAGGAGCCAACGATTCTTTAATAATATCTAATCCGGAATCCACCCTCCCGCCACCMCAATTCGAAGAGACGCACTCGTGGATCGAGTGCAACAATATAATATTATTATCATACTCACTCGACAATGCGTTTCGTGCACGTCGTCGTACTGGAAGACGTACGCGGTTGCCAGGCACGTCAGCAGTGTGATGAGCGGCAACGACACGCCGACGAACGCCAGTTTGCGTATGCTCAGGTTGAAGAACAACAACATGTTCTCAAGCGGATTGTCTTCGGATTCGTCGGCGGACTTGACGACGGCATCCTTTGCAGTCATGTCGCGCGGCGAACCGTGTGTACACACCACCAGCTATATGCGCAGAACTGTGGGCCCGCGGTAGAGCGACGACGAGCACAACACCTGTCGGCTGAAACACACGCCACACGCACAGAACGAACAGCGGCGATGACAAGGACGGTAATAACGACGACGGAGTCGGACAAACAAGAACGCGTTGCTTTTTCAATGTCCGGCTGTCTGGTATCAAACGGCGTGCCTGCCTCAGCCGGTGTCATCCACCGACGAGTCGCGACGTGGTCATCGAGTTGCCGTCGCCGTCATGACGTCTGCCACAGCGACGGTGCCAACAGTCGTTTAGTATAWTATAATAATAACAACAACAAMAACAAACTATCGTGACGTCCAATGACGACGACGGTGGAATTGCCGGCCACGTAACGGCGGTGACTGTGCGACCCAGCGATCGCTACGGTTGCGGCGATCGGGTCAAAAGCGGAAGACTTTTGCGCGTTTTATCGCGTGCCATCGATTTATGTGTTATAATGTTTTATCAAGTCGGTCGGCAGCGTGTGCGTGCGCACACTCGACGTGCGACAGAGTGTGTGAGAGAGACGGTGACGGAGCGAATCGTCGGTGAACGTGAACGAGCGCGCGCGCGCGCTAGAGCAACGGAAACAACGGTGCGAAAAGTTAAAGCGCGCGCGCACGCCGACCGCCGGCGAGCGAGCGAGCGGGCGTTTCGCCGTCGCACACGTTTTTAGCACACAGGTCGGCGGCGGCCACGTATTTTTAGCCTTCTCCGCGCATATTAATAATTATTGTCGTGTTTCCCGGCGTGCGCGGGACGTGTGGACACGCGTTGTAGTACACGAACACCGGGGTAGGTAGGTATAAGTGGTAGTACACTGTGCAAGTGTGTTGTAGGTACGATTGTATAATAACGATCGCGCGCGCGCTTGGTTTTGTTCGCAAAAGTGCGAAACCACTGATGGGCCGCAGGTGCGCGCGCGGTGTATTGACGTATACTTATACGTATACTACAGTGGTGTACACTACACACGTTGCTGTTGTTGTTGTTGTTGTTGTTTTTGTTGTAGTATAATAAACAACAGTCAAGTCAGCGTCGCCGTTGACAACCTCGAGCGCAACACGCAGACGGTAGTTAATGATTTCGTCTGTTGTTGAAACAGCCGCGGTCCGAAAAACCTTTCTTACGACGCCACTGCGTATTCCGGAATTTCGATTTGTTTGCGATATGGACAACGCTGAAATTCTAAATATAGAACTACGGGACGAGGTCGAACGACCTCTTCCGCGTTCGGTTTCCGCCGTTCTTTTTTTTTTTTCTTCAAATCTAGCCTGAACATTTTTTTATCTGGCAAGAAGCCAATATTTTTCCCGCGCTGATATCGAAAACCGACAAAAGAAAAAATGTTTAAAGTTATTTTTAGGGCTCGGGCTACGACGAACGTTACCTACAGATCGTTACATTGACATTATATTATTACCTTCGGACTACAGTTCTTCTTCCAAACGGCATTCATCATCAAAAGATGTTTAAACGGTTAGACGTTCGATGAACACAAACGCATGAAAATTAAAATTAAAATCCAAACAGAAGAAATCGTAGTAAAATAATAACTTATTATTTTTTAACATGTTTTAACAACAATACGTTAATATTCTCGTCTATAATAGGATTGATAGCATTAATACCGAGATCGCGAGATCGGGTAAATGACTACCGGATGTGACGCCTCGATAAAAAACCATACCATTCAATAATGGAATACTGAAATACCATACAAGATACGTGTACAACCTATTGGTATAATGTACAGTGGCGCACAGAGGTATTTTAAGAACACACGTGGTTAAAAAAAGTTAGCCACCCACCCGCCCAATTTTTTATTTATAACAAATATTTTCACTTATTATTCACTGTAATTCAGAGAAATCAATTATTATAGACTATAGTGTTAATGTTATACATTTTTTAATTTCCCTGGGAAACCTGCAGTAGTACACACACACCCCCCTCGAGAACACATGCAACGGTTGCATTCTTTGCTAACCTGTCTGGGCGCCACTGCCACTGTATATGTATAATATATATTATCGCCAGAGACGGATCTCCAAATTAAGCATCCCCGCAGGCACAACATAATATTAGCGCCTCTAAAAGGTTAGGCTATGAGTTTAAAATTTGAAATTACCTCCCGGGGACTAGCCCGTGATCACTTCCCCCCGATATATCCGGTACTGTATCTCATTATACATCACCAGTATATTCTAATTTCAACACTAGATATAATCAGATATTCAGATACCTACCCATAATACTGAATTATAATATAATAAGTATCAATAACATTAATTATTATTATATACAAAATAATGATATTATATGAACGTATTTTGAAAATGTCCAATTTAAATTGCGTGATTGTGGTACAGGCGATTATGAACTCTGATGACACAAATATTCAACATTTTTTAATTTATCTAAAACCAAAAGCCATGAGCCCATGACACGTATTATATCTATTTTCTGTACTATACCGCGATATACCATTCAAATGGTATTTGAGCATTCGCCATTCACCAGTGAAATAAAAATACCGTCAACCCTACTTGTCTAAAACCAAATCACACAAGCCTTATTTTAAATTTTTGATCTACTCGAACACTAAACAGTACCGGAAATAGCGTGAGTAAAATAGCCTCTCCAGTCCGTTCCCCCTTCGCTTGGACTTTAGAGCATGTTGTCTCTTCGCTGTTGCCACTTATCAGTTTGTTAGCAGATGTTTGTATAACTTCAAACAACAACAAGTGATAGAGTATTAATCCCACTTCGCACAAATTATTTGCCTTTTTTTGATTTTTTTATTGGGGTCGTTAATATTTTCTAAAAATAAAAATCCGTCATGAACTCATAATGACATACCTTAGTAGCCAGTTACCCAGCAATCTTTTTGACCATTTTACACATAATAATCAATTTTTCTATCAAAACCGCTTTCTCCATCATTCTTGGGTTTCTAAAATGTGATTCACTGTTCCCAACCATTATCTTACTGAGTACAAAGACAAATACTTGCTTATTATTTGAGCATTTGACATCATAGATATTAAAGTAATTCTGATAAGAGGATAACCAAAACAAAATAATGGACATTCATTTAAAATTTACATAGGTAAATGTTAACATTATTAATCCACTCATCTACTCAAAACATAGAATTTGATACTTTTTGAAATCATTTGAAATGTTAAATGTATGTATAATTAATTACTTATGATTTATGAACATCAGTACTTAAAATATAATGTATGATTTTTATTCAACATGTGATGATCACATCATTATAAAGGATAAATTTTGTTTTTAAATTAAATCACTAATTACAAATAATACTTACTTACAAAATTATGTTGTCTATTAAACTAGTTTATCATATAAATATATTTAATATTTTTGAAAGCTGATTTATAAAAACTAAATAAATAAAAATGTTGCCTCTTTTCTTCATTATTATTGTAAAAATTGCAATCAGTATATTATTATCTACTAAGAAATACAAAGCTGAAAAAAAACATGTCATTTTAATAAAGTCTACAAGTTTATTATAAAAATAATGTATTAAGTATTTGACATAACTGTTATATAACTACACATGCAAATACTTTATCATCATCAATATTACAAATAGTAATTAATTAAGTTATTAAATGTTCTAAAAGCCAAATATTTATTTATTAGGCGATCATTATAATTAATAATTCTAAACACAGTATACTTGTAATTTGAATCTTATGGTCAAAAAATATGACTATAAAAATATAATACAATTAATATAACTTATGTATCTAATGTTAACAACTGAAATTTTATAAAACCGGTAACAAAATGATTTAGATTTAGATTTGATAAATACGTGCAATAAATTTAGTCTACAAATAAAAATATGTATACATAATAAATGTAATGTGTACCATGACAAAATAAATAATATTAAGTATCATCACAGTTTTTTGAAACACATAATCAACTCTTAATTTTGCTCATATAGTAATTCTACACTTCTTATTGGCTGTAAATTAAATAAATACACATATAAAAAAAAAAAAATCAACTAATCTGAAGTGGAGATCTACAACAAGAGCCAGAAGTGAAGGGATGAACATATCAAAAAAAAAAAAATATATATTACAACTGTCATGATACCAAGCTATTTTGTTATGATGTGTACCCATAAGTTTACAAATTGTAGGTCAGGACTCTATCGCTACAATGTGTCTCTTTAAAAAGGTACATCAAATAATTAAAAATTCTGATTAAAAAAATAATGTGTATTTAAACATATTATAATACTCAATTATATTCTACTACATTATGGAAATTATATTATAAACGTATTGTTTTTTATTGTTATAATCAAAAACATATTTATATATTATTAATCCTATATTAATATTATATAAAACATTATATAGACTATTACAAGGATTGTGATTTAACTTAAAATTGTAATTATTATTATATCTAATAGTATACATATCAATATAAATTCATATTTGATATTAATAGTAGATTTTTAAAATCATAATTGGTAGGCAATAAAATAAAATAAGGGTTACAAGCTAAAAAAATTATTGGTATCAAATTATAATTAGTTGACAGTCAAAAATATTTTTAATAATCAATCAATTTTATTGAAAAAAATCAATTGTAAAAATGTAAATGTTTATAAAGGTTTTGGTTTTATTTACAACGCCCATCCAATATCATCATCAAACAAATACAGATCTATGATAAATGTCAACAATTGAGCATTAATAAGTCATTACAATTGTTTAAAAATATAATAAACTTAAAATTATTTTGTTGATGTTTACATAAATGTACGTGTAGAGCACATATAATTTTGATCTTCTAAACATTTTTCATTGCAAGGAGTGACATATATGTCACTAAGTATATTATATTCATAGCAAATATACATTATTATTTTGTTGTTTATTTTTTACATGGTAGGTCTTGTTGGTGTAATAGGTGTAAATGCAACCATGTGCTAAGTTATTCATCATCATAATAATAAACTAATATATATATATTTAAAAAAAAACAAAATTGTTATAATTTAGAAAAAATACTATCCACCAGTTATAAATGCTMCTGCAGATGTACGACAACTGTTAATTCTATCACCCAATAGTGCACCACTTTCTGTTTCACTCTCCTGAGTATTTGCAGTCTGTGAATTGTTGGTGGCGTCAATAGTAACAGAAGTAGTATTACGTTGTCGACACAAATATGGTGTGTCAACTGGAGATGGGGTGTCACGACCCTAAAATAATTAAGAACATTTATAAAAATATTTATTTCATGATTGAACAACTAAAAATGTATTTACTTGTTTTGATGGGCCACAACATGTTTGTAATTGACATGGTATGTCAGTTTTAGGACAATCTAATACGCAGTCTTCAGTAGGAGTCTGGTTTTCGTTTCTATTTTCAGTTACCTACAATTGAATATTACATAAAGTTTAAGTACATTAATATTCGGTAGCAAAATAATTGATAATATTATAAAACACACCTCAACTTCAACAAATTCAGGCTGAATGGTAGTCGAATGAATACCTTCATTATGGAAAAATTCTTTAACTTTTTCTGCTAACTTCATATATTCTGGCAAGTTCCTACACCTGGTAATAATTATACAATAACACATTTATATTAGATATTTCTTAATTAAATTTAAACTCAACAATAAAAATACCTAATATGTGCAGATGCTATGATTCTATCACCTGCCAATTGCCACACATGGAACTCATGTACAGCCAGAACTCCATCCACTCTGTCTAAAAGTCGTTTCTGGATGGCATCTACTTGAATGTGGGTAGGGACAGTCTGAAGTAATATAAGTGCAGACTCTTGTAACAATGGCCATACTGAGTGCAAGATAATTATCACCATTAACAAACTTAAAGCAGGATCAATGTAATCACGGTATTTCCAATCGGTCAACCACACAATCTAAAAAAAAGCATGCTACATAAATTAATTGAAATGAGAAATTCAATACTGTGCTTTGTTTAATGGGTAACTACCTAATATAAAAACCATTGCTGTTAATGTTTTTATTTTATGCTATTCAATTATTATATTATATTTATTAATAATTATACTATATTTATTAAATACATTTATAAATTTTTAACTGCAAAATATTTAGTCAACATTTAAACTTTAAATGCTTATAAAAATAAAATTGTTCATATATATCAATAATAATTTTTAACAACTAATACCACAACTAATGCAGAATCCTATTTAAGATTTTCAAGCTTTTTGACCCAATGAAAAGAAATATTGATATTTATAGAAAAAACTTTAAATGTCTTTAAACAATTAAACTTGTAATAGTTACTGGAATTATTTATGTGATTTATTTATGAAAAACTCCTTATTTGTTTTTTTTTTTTTAATTTAATATGTACCTAAAACAATAAGAATTATTGTAATCTAAGATAACCCATGGGCCTCCACACGAGTTTTTCTCAGTGAGGCCCAGTAATCTTTCGATATTAATTTTAATTAATTAAAAAATAGTTAAAAATTTGGAAATTGTATTCTGTAAAAGAAATTATAAAATAAATATTCAATAAAAATTTCAAGTATCTTACATTAGTTTTTTTTTTTTGAGTTAAACCTAAAAATAAAATTAATTTTTGAAAACAAAATTTTAAGGTAAAAATTTTAATTATTCATTAATATGTTTTTAGTTTTTCCTGATGCTTTTAAAACTACGCAGAATTTTTAAATTATGATCTCTCGAATACACCAACTAAATTCAATATCCTAATAAAAACATTACCGTAGTTGAATATCAAGCATTATTTTGAATTGTAATCGTATATACACCCAAATAAAAATATAATAAGAAATCACACTTCATTATAATTCATCGCTCAGCTCAAAAGTTTAGTGTGGACATTTAAAAATTTGACATTAAGTAGTATTAGCTAAACACAGCTTTACAGAAAAAGTATGGATAATTTAGTTTTCTATATATAATATAAATCATTAACACCTATGTTTAAATTTCTTAATTAATAATTGTAATAAAAATTTGTTTTGAAATATTTTGAATAAGAATGTACAAATTTAAAATAAGAACAGCCTTCTCATAATTGTTATGAAATAGTCAGCCAAATTTTAAGAACAATAATACATTAATCAGAAAAGACTTGTATCTCATTTCTTACAGTATAAAAAAACCAAAACTGAAAACATTTAATATCCATATACATACCAAAGCTGATACAATTACAATGACTGAACCTAAAGCATCGGCTAAAAGATGTAAAAATACACCTCTCATATTCATATGACCAGCAGAAGATTCATGAGTGTGATTAAGTGGTACATTGAAACGATGGTCATTATCATTGTCATCAGTAGCATTAGCACTTGCTCCAGCGCTTACTAATTGGGTTAGCCTTGTGTGGCTGCGAGATATACCGCCATGTGAATGTCCATGTCCTCCTCCACCATGAGCTAAAAAATATGAAAAGATTGTCATTAATAAATAATAAAATACAAACTGGAAAACCATTGAGAAAAGATAAATGTATTACCATGGAACAAAAATAAACCCAAAATATTAACAAATAATCCTAAAACTCCAACCACGACAATGAATCTAGGATTGTGAATGGTCTCTACTTCAATAAACCTTAAACAAAAATTATAATTATAAATTAAATTGTGATTCAAACATATTATTTTAAAAATTAAATACATACCTTTTACAAGCCTCAACAGTAATTGAAAAACACAAAGCTACTAAAAACACAGCATTTACTAGTGCTCCTAGTACTTCAGCTCTTGCCCATCCAAATGTATTTTTTGACCATTTTTTTGGTGACATCTAAAATAAAATAATTTGCTAACTGTAATCGAAATATTAAGTATTAGGTAATCCATTTAACAACTATATTCCTACGTACGTTTTTATTTTTATTTTTTAAATACTATAGGTACTTGTCTAAAAGTACGTCTTAACTATCAAATAAAGCACTATGCATTATATTAAGTAGTATGCATATCAAAATGATGAACGTTCGAGATTCCAGGCGCGTATGTTCATTGGTTGGTCGGTTGGATCAAATGTATTAATTACATTTATATTAATTTTTAACGACTCTTAATGACCGCGGTATAAAACTCTAACCATTTACAATAACTTTTTTTTTTCAGTTATATTCGTTATGGTTATATAGGTATGCATGTAAATCAACATTATAAAAAGTGGCAGAAATAATGTATTTATAAGACGTTAAACCAACAGATGCATATAAATTTAAATATCTAAAATATATACAAAATATATAGGCGGTTCTTAAGACCAGATCTTAAACTCACGACTTCATTCTTCGACAACAATATTTTAGTTTATTGTCGTTGAAATCATATTATCAACACTATTTTAGTATAATACTACTATGGATACTTACTTTAACCGATAAATATGCCACTACCAATGCTGCGACGTCGCTTAGCATGTGAAAGCTGTCCGCGACAAGGGCCATCGAGTTGGTTATATAGCCGACGATGATCTCTACCAAAAAGAAAAACGTCGTCAGCCAAAACATGGTGATGAGTCGGCATTTTTTCCCACTGTATCGACCCATTTTTAATTAATCTATAAAAAAAATAATAAATAGCTATAATATCAATAACAGTAGACGACTACAATTAAACATACAATGTATACAATAGGCTATATAAACATTATTTTTAAATTGTATAAGAAAATCCTGCGACAGAGAACGTGAACTTTTTTTATTGAGAATAAGGCCTCAATAGCTAGGTCATTAGTCTAAGGTTGTAGATACAATATTATTAATGGATACTTCAGTTATAATTATATGTTACATGATTACAGATTAAGTGATACAGAATTATATATATACACAGAACGTGAACTATTTAAGTAGAATATTATAGTATAATACGTACAAATTGTTACATCTAAACTACAGAAACCGCCGCAAATATACACCATAAATCGAATAATAAAAATTGCATTTTTCTTAACTATATTATTTACAAATACACAAATCAATATGTATTATTATACATCAGTATAACTAGGTGGGTGATTCATTATCGATGCCATTTTTTTTTCTGCTATTCTATGAAACTTGAAAATTATTTTTATATTTTATTTTCTACCTAATTTACTATAATACTTTTCCGCTAATCTACTAACCAACTAACCAAGGCATATTTAGGAGGGGGTTGATACGGCGTATGATTCCAACGAAAATGACTTCACAAGAAAAACTCTCACGCCTCATTGGTATATCAAATTTTGATAATTTTTTTTATCTGACAGATGAGAATTTTTCAGTTCAGATCAAAGCCCACATTTTATAGTTTAGTGCTAAAAACCTAACCTAACCTTGGAGAAGTATTACATCTAAATTCGAAACATATTAACATTTTAGAAGTTATTTAAAGTTTTTATTGGAAAAATAAATAGTAAACCAACATTTTTCGGAGCACTTGCCCTTCTCACCACTATAACAGTCTACACCGATCATCATAACTTTTAATTTATAGCTTTATAGGTATCTAACTAACTTTTAGTTAGGAATTCAGTTGTTGATCAAAATTGGAAAACTTTAAAAAAAAGATAACAATAAAAAATACTTTTAAAAACATTAATGCGTTTCAAGATAATAGCTTTGTTTACTTACTAAAATAATCACTCTGTATAACGTATATTTTTCGACTCTACATAAAACCACGCACACGCTATAGTCGTTTAATTACAACTATAGAAACGACGAGGTTCATATCATAGTTATATCAGCCAATTTTTTAAAACTACTCAAAACAAAACAAGATATGACAGTAGACAAAGATATTATTATTATAATAAATACACGTTTTATTTCAAACAAAATGAAATTATTTGTCACTATACGGTGAGTACTTTTTTTTTTATATTAAGATCGCCAATATTTGTTTTGTATTTATTKCTTTACTTTTAGAACTTCTTTTATTGAAATATATGCAATTTGAAACAACKATTATTTACAGAAGCATGTAAGAACTCTCCGTACTTTCTGTATAGCAATTTTTAAGCCTTATATACATTATTTCTTCTTATGTAAGTATTACAAGAGTCGTAATCGTTTTGTGCAGAAACCTCTAAAAATGAAATATTAATAATAAAATCAACCTCAAATGGATGTTAATAATTAAAAATAATGTTATTATTACAGTGATTTTCTTGTTATTCGTTAATAATTTATAATTCGTTACTTAAATTAATAAATACTTTTGTATTTGGCGACGCAATTATATGCCACGAAAATATTCTCATATAATTTAGAATGTAACATTCGGACTAATAATAAAATCCATGTGGGTCGTGAGCATAGAACATACCAATGTTACATAGTCTTGCAAACATCAGCAGAATAATATCTATTTCTAAAAGATAAAAATGTGTTTAATTTGCAGTCGCCATTAATATAATAAAAAATAGTAAAGTGCCTACTGGTTTGAAGACACAACATAAATACATACATCAGTTAAGAAATATTTCAGGTACCAAGTGTATTATGTTCATAAAAGTAGCGATACATATTAAAGCTTATTCTGCGGATTTTGTATACCATATAAACGTATCAAAATACCTATTCTGAAATCTTATATATTTTCCAAAATTATAACTTAATTATTATCCCATTCCTACGTTTGATAAAAAATCAATATACAATAATGGCGTCACATAATATATATGGAACGATTACATTTACCTATTTTAATCAATAATATTTGAGTGTCAAGTAGATTAGTGTACTCAAGTTTAATAAGTATAGTTAATTTATTAAGTAAACAAAGAAACACTAGAAATCAAATATAATTTATATTTAATATCATTAACAAAAACATTTTTTCTTTATTGTTATTATTTATATTAAAGAATGATAAAAATTTAATTAGGTATCTTTAAAAGATATTAATTGAATATTGAATAATTAGGTACTCATTTGCAAACATTATTATTATGTGCATATCGATAATTTTGATCTAATACAATAAAATATTTAAAACATAATCCACTGATTATCAACAAAATAATGAATACAATTCATAAAAGGATCTTTAAGAATTGCAAACATGCAATTAAGTAATATATAAGTAGGTACATTAAAAGCGATTAAAAGTATTAGAATATCTTTAGTTAAACTATATTTTATCTATACAGGCTATTCAATAAGTACTTATAATTAAAATCTAAGGAAGGTTACGGAGTAATAACAATTTATTGAAATAATATTTTTATCATAGGTCAGTCAAGGCAAGAACCTAATTTTGTTTAGTTTTGTTCAAACTAAACTAATTACTTTTGGTTTTATTTAATACAAACAATTAGGTATATAGTTTAGGTCACTAAATTATTATTATTTACCCAATAATTTCAAGGAGTTTGCGCAACAAAAAATAAACTAAAATATATTATACCTAACCAGTATTAAAAATATGTCGGTGTAGATAATTAATAAATAAAATTCTTTGTATGCATTTTTAAAATATAATTATTAATTATATAATACTATACAGTATAAATACAAGTAATTCTAACATAAATTGTTTTTCTATTCAATAAAAAAAGTAAATGGGACTTTTTATTATTAGAACTATATAAAACACGATTGTAATTTGTTGACACATTTACATAACACGTACTTATGCTATTTCATCCTGTATAATATTAAAATAATTTAAATTTCGATCAGATTTAAAATTAATTAAAATGTACCTATTTATAGTTTTCATATTTATTGATCTGCTATAAAAAACAATATAACGAAGTTATCTCGGTTATTCCATTTTATGACAATTAACATACCTAATTTTATAATAGGTACGAACAAATTTATTATATACCTATACCAAGGGTCACCAAATGGCGGCCCGCGAATGCATTTTAACCGGCCCGCAGACTGAGAGAAAAAACCAATAATTTAATTATATTTTCATTAGTTTTAGTTAAATCATTAATAAGTGTATATGTTTTTATTTAGAAATAAAATATTTTTGGCCAACCAGCATATTATAATAAATACTATGTACTTTGAATTTTTATGGCCCGCGAGAATTTTCCGAATTCTTAATGTGGTCCACGGAAAATATTAATTGGTGACTCTATACACTCGCCCTTAATTGATACTACCAAGTAGTAAGTACTAATCAATTACAACTAACAATTAAAAAAATACAGGTTATAACTAATTGGTTAACAAATTTATTGAACATTAAATTTCACACAGGAACAAATTATTAATAATTAGGTACATTGAGACAATCTGTATGGATTTATTGTTTAAAGGTATAATAGCGAACAGCGAAAATTATGTATTTCAATTTCTAACAAACCAATTCTTATCACTATTTGTTTAAATTTAATACGTTCGGAATGTTGATAGATAATAATTAACAAATATTACCTATGTACAATAAACAACTGCCTAACTGCTTACATATCAGTTTGTCATAAAAATCTAAAAAAAAACTTAAGCACAAAATATTTAAGCAGTTTAAGGTTCAATTCTCTAAATTCACAACAGTTAAATTATTTTTTGTCTATACTCTATATTTGCTAAGAAATTAAATTACAGAAATGCAGTTTGTGTAATTATTAGATTCTGAGCGGATCGAGGAATGTATTAATTTTAACATGTGTTTGTGTGTGCGTGTGTCTGACATCGCGTTTTGGGTTAGTAAAAGTGCTTAGATTTTCGATTTCAGTACCTCGTTCGATAAGAAAGCGAATCTATAAATATTTTTCTAAATAATCAGGATTAACAAACTAAAAATTAAGGAAATAACAGGAATTTCAACGCACAATCGGTTTTCGACAAAATCGATTTTGGTTTTTGATGTAACTTAAAGAAAAATTACTATAGATACATAAAATGTTCACTGAAGTTTTATAAAAGTATATTCTATCCATCATACAATTATCAAAAAATTTCGATTTAAGTTGAACTATTTATAGGCATATGCAATTTTCGATAATTATTAGTTTTTCTTAAAATTAATAAATAAAATTTATTTGTAAGTAGAAAAGCTTGAAAATTTAATACAAGGCTCCTGACATATTGTTATAAAAGCAGTTGAAAAATAAAAGAAATTCAGTCACCATTTTTTTTATAAGCATTCAATGTTTGAATTTTTACAAAATACGTAAAAATCACAAAAATTCGCAAATTATTTTAAGCTAGAAATGCTTAAAAAAATTTCTTTTTAAATCTAAGATTTGAAAATTTAATACAAGATTCCTTATAAGTTTATCAATCTTTATCACAAAAAAAAATGTCAACCAGAAATTAAAATTAAATTTTTATGAGAGTTTGAAGWTYAAATWTTTACAACATTGGATTTTCACTAGATTTTCTTATTTTGGTGTAACTCTAAAACGAATGACCGCAGATACTTGAAATTTTCACTGAATGTAATCAAAATATTTTGATTTGTTTTGAGGTGTTTACTGACATTTTAATTTTTTTACTTTTTTAGTTTTTTTTTTATAAATATCGATAAAAATGTATTTGTTGGGTAAAAAAGCTTGAAAATTTAATACAAGGCTCCTGACATATTGTTAGAAAAGCAGTTGAAAAATAAAAGAAATTCATAGTCACCATTTTTTTTATAAGCATTTAAAGTTTAAATTTTGACTAAATACGTAAAAATTATGGCAATGTTCAAATTATCTTAGATAGAAATTCATAAAAGTTTTTCTTTTTAAATCTAAGATTTGAATTTTTTTATAATATTTAACCTAACTCGAGACCTAACTGGTTAACCTATAACCTAGACAGATAAACCGTCTCCGCTCAGAATCGTTTTTCGTATATACAATGATATAATATCACTGGATTCAAATTTGATCCCATCCATTACAGAAACCCACTTGCAACTACTGTACATCAGTGCGACATCCACGACTTACACGCTTTTTTTAATTCTTAATAAAATGGTAATATTCATTCAAATCAATTCGAATTTAATTTTTTGAGAATACTAGCTAACATCGTATTTTGCATACGATAAAAAAATGGACAGAATACTCGATTAAACGACATCATATATTATCATTATCAATTTAAGGAGGGGGATTAAAAATTGTATAATCTTATTGAAATATCAAATGATTATTGGTATATGGCCTACAAATTATAATAGGGCACTTAAAAACAAGATAGGTATACAAGTGGTGTTCTGCAGTTATTTCGGTAAATTACGATTCGATACCACTGTTATCTCAACTATATTATACATACTAAAACAATTAAAGATTTCTTAACTATATAGTTAAAATACACAGGTACAATGATAATTATTATCATACCTTCTTATTGTATAGCAAAACTTAAGTATGCTGAAACCATTAATGAATAATATTTAACGATACTTTCATAATTCAAGAGTTATTTAGATTTTTAATATGTAGTTTGATCAATGTTGAGCAAATCGTTTTTATTATTTCACATTGTATTAAATTTGTGCTATTGTAATAATAGTAACTACCAAAATAATTATTAAATATATTTTACCCCAGTAGTGTGGATATTATTACTATCATTAATATGAAAATATTATTTAAAATAAGTACCTAACATGACTATATTTACTGGTTAATAAGCTTCAGTAAGGTCAATTAGAGACGGGAAATACCGAAAAGAACCAGAATATAAAATAAACACACACCCAATACCGGTGGTACATAGTCATTATTCCAACTACATTGATACATTATACCAGTAGTTAAATTTCTATAATTTAATTTAAAAAATTCCCAGTAAAAGAAATCAAATGTTTGTAGACATCTTTATTAGTGTCAAAACAATAACCGTTCGTTTTTTATAAGTGTAATTAACTAATAAAAACTTAAAAATAATAAAACAAATATAACATATTTATACCTCATAAACTAGTCAATGACACAATAATATCACAACCATCAACATTTTCTGATTGCAACAGGAACGTGAAAATTAATTTAGAGGATGTCAGCGTAATCGATCGCAAAAATCGATCAAAAAGTTGGTTTAGAAAAAAGTTGGAAAAAAGTCCGAATTTTTTTTATTGTCGAAAAAAATGTCTGAAAATACAAATAATAATTTTTATTTAGATATAATTATATAAACTATTATAAATTGGTATTCCATACATTTTGATTAATATTAATTTTAAAAATGTAAATATTATTATTTACTGTATTAAATATTAATATATTTTATTTGAATTGCATAACCATCCCTTATACTAATATACAGTTTACTATAAAAACATCGATTACTAAGATAATAATAATAATATATTATGAATTACGATTCCTTAACAATAACCTAAGTGATTTAAAAATTCATCTATTGTGAACCCATATTACTAATTATTATGTTTACGAATTTGTTCACATAATAGTCCACAACTATGCAAATTAAAATTACTAAGTTAATTATTAGAATGTTTAGATTAATATCATTTTTTTAATGAATATTAATTATGCATAAGTTATAAGAAATGAAAATTTAATATTTTTGGAACTTTTATCCGACAATAAAAACGTACTCAGACATTTTGCTTAAAAATAAAAAAATGAATCCTGACTTTTTGTCCAACTTTTTCACGAAAAGGTATTCAAGTAAAATCACCTATTACAAAAACTATAGAGGTTAATGCTTTTTAGGGTTTGATTTAAAGATTTTATGTTTCATTATTTGACTTTATATTCGACTTAAAAAATAAAAACAATTTTTGTAATTTTTAATGAACATTACATTGTTATGAAAAAGACTGAAACAAATCAATATGCCATAGTGTCATGCCCTAAAAAAAATATTCTCTGGAATTTGTATAATAGATTTAATAGATTCTTACTCTAAGATTCGCCAAAACATTAAAAAAAAACTATTTGACGTGAATGCATTTGTCTATATTGAGCGTGGGTCAGAAGGTAGAGATTAGAGAGCGAAATCTAACAAACAATCGCACTCTCTGTACACTTCTGATGTACTCACAATAATAAATATTAAATGTACACGATTTATAATAATCATAGGCGTGAGTATGGGTGTGGCTTATAGGGCTATAGCCACACCTGTAGCTGGGTATTTTTTTTAGATAGGTACCAGTCACCAGGTACTTGTAAAAAGAGCCAATAATTAATTTTTTTGGATAGTCAAATTTTTGTTATCAATTTTACAATAAAAATTGTCGTGACTAGCATTATACTGTTATACTATTTTGTGTCTATTTAATTTAATTTTTTAAAGAGGACTTTGTAAGGGGTGGTGTATAAGTCTGGTAGTATATATATATCACTATATCAGGCACACCTGAAACAGGAGTCTTAGCACGCCTGTGATAAGAATAATAATATGCAATTTTCACGTCATAACTCATAATATTACACCTATAATATATATATTTTTTTTTTTATATATATATATATATATTTTACTGTAGGTATTTTAATTAATTATAAAAGTTGTTAATTATCAATTATCCGAGTATTACTGCTAGGTGACTTCTCTCGTTATATATTCAAGTCTTTATATACCTAATATTATATTACACACATAGGTGCATTGTGCATACTATTGTAAATACAATTACAGATTTTATAGGTATATTCCAATAAATGTAAAACAAATATATGATTATTCAGAAATTACCTATAAAAATACTTTGAATTATGATTTATAGATAATTGAAAATCAAGTTAAAATATTTTAGGATTGATATTTCTCGTATGTTATATGTATTTCAGACAGATCTGCTAACACTAAAATTATCATGCAAATTGTGTTTAAGAACCGGAAACAACATATTCATATGATGGGTAATTGATTAGTAGGGTTTTCTGAAGTTAATTTCTAAAAATATCCAGACAAGACAGTGTGGTGTGTTGTTGGTTAACCTGAATATTATTATATAAGGACAGTCACCTTTTAAGTTTACTCCACTATTCAGTCTATACCCTGTAGGTATAATACAATAATATTATGTGGCTTCATCTTCCATAGATAGAATTATTTTTTTATATAATAGTGTATACAGTATACACAAAATCATAGAAATTTAGATTCGTACATTAAGAGGATTTCAGCACACTATTTGTTTTCTTTCTCTAGCCCACGCTTAACATAGACACATTTACGCAGAATCATTTTTTCTGTTTTTAAGTAATCTTAGAGAAAAATCACCCATCACAAAAAAGATAGAGAATAATGATTTGAAGTAATAACATATGGATTTTTCTAAATATCGTCTCAAAACGATTTAAATATCATTCAAATTTACAAAATTTGTTTGTTTACTTTGAAAGTCGAATACAAAATCAAATAATAATAAAATATAATATCGATATGTAATCCCCTCAAAAAATTATTCTTTATCTCTTTTGTAATGTGTGATTTTACACTAAGATAACTTAAAAACTATTCTGCATAAATGCGTTTTGTCTATGTTGAGTGTGAGCCAGAGAGAGAAAACAAATAGTGACATCCTCTTAAGTAGGTAAGTACTACTTAGGTAGGTGAAACTGTAGTTTCCTTTAAAGTTAAAATCTTAATTATAACAACGTTAAATTTTCCTCAACATCGTAACAGTTAAACCTCCGAATTTTTAGAACTTTTATCAACTATTATTTTTAAAAAGGAAAAACATAGATAATAAATATTACGGTACTACTAAAATACGACTATATGTATAGAAATTGAGCTAATAAATTAGCAAAAATTCTACATGAAAAAATGTCCAGAAGAATTACAAATAAAATGAAAGTCAAATAAAAAATAAACTTTTGTACGTTATAAGTATGGTTTGTGTTTATTTTCTACATAAACGCCAGTACTCAGTACTCGTAAAGTTAATAGTCAATTAGGTAGTCTATAATTCTGCGCTCGTCGGCGCTCGTACAACCGACCGGCAACCACGAAATAATGTAATAATATAATTTTTATTATCATTGTTCAATAGCGCGCATTTAATTTATAGTAATATTAGTATAGATAAACATTTCTAAAATCATACTGGTATTAATATTTAAAGTTTTAAACATTAAATTTCTTTAAATGTGTTTTACAATCCTTCTAACATCCGGTAATTTTCATGGTAAAAGTACAATTGGAAAAATATCTACAATATTCTCGGAAACGTGTACCTATTAATAACAAATCATAATATATTAATTAAACAAAAAAAGATTACCATGAACAAAGATTACTTTCATAATTCGAATACGATAAATTCAAAATAGCCTATTTGTGAGTCAGATTATATGAAAAATTTTAATGTTAAAACGATTTATCTAAGTCAAGTAGTTTATTTTTTTAAATTCAATATTTTTTTGGTTATATTAATTTAGAACGTAATCACTTTTTCAAAAAATATGATTTTTGAGAATTTGCTAACATGAGTATATTTCTTAAATTATTTACTTATCATATAATATTAACAATTTTTGTCATATGTTTAATTAGCATGATTTTTATTTTCCGGTCTTTCTGTTACACCATATATGGCTACATAATATATATAAAAATGCAATGGAGGGAACATTTTAGGGGTCGGCTTTATTTTCTCCCCCCCCCCCTTTAAACATCATGTATAACCACCGCTGGCATGTGTACATATTATCCTATGATAACTTGTAAATTGTATGAGTATAAATTATAGAGAAATGACTAATTAAAAAATATTATTGTTAACTTAAAAAATTTTTTCAAGATAAGTATTAGGAAAATTCTATAAGATTTGCTATAAAATATTACAAACATATACACTAAATTTAAATATAATGGGCAGTTCAGCAAAAATACTCAACTAATTAAAATAATAAATTTCCAAAAAAATACATAAAAATGAAAAACTGACTATTGAAACATTTTAATAAAGAATTGAATAAAGATTTTGTGATAACATATTTAAATACATATTTTTATTTTATTTAAAACAGTTTCTTTTTCTTTTTAGTAATAAAATAAAAATGCTTTAAGCAATTATAAGCACAAGGTGTACTTAATACTTGTAACTGATTAAAGCATAGTAAATTATAGTAGGTATCAGTTTGGCATGTTTACTAATATATTTATATATTTTAAAATTAAATTTTTTTTCATTTAAAACAACTATAAAATAAATATTATTTTAACACTAACAGTACAAGATTATAGTAAAATGTGTGTAATAATAAAAGTATCAACTAAAAACCTACATTTTATGTAGCAATTCATTAGTCTAGGTCAGGGGCGTAATTAAGGGGGGATGAGAGGGATATATCCCCCCCAGAGCCTATATAATGTGTATATTTATATATTAATTTGAAGCTTATGGAATTATATGTTTTATCATGCTGACATCACGACGAAATATATTAAATATAATTAATATCAAGAAATCTATAAATTATTATTTAATTTAAAACTAAATCTTAATTCTAATATATTCAAAATTTACATTTTAAAGAAATTATTATAATATTGTATAGGTACTAAATTGTGTAGAATTTTAAAGCACTTTTATTAATACATTTTGTGTATATATATATATTAGTTTAAGAATTTTTGATGAAATAGTTTTCCCAGATATTGTACTTGAAAATCTAAGTATTTTGTGTGGAAAATAATGTTTATACTGGTCTAGGTCTCTAAGACACCCATATAAGAGAAAAATTACTAATGGATCATCAGAAATAAAGATCTATGCACATTGCACGCGGCACGTTTATGTGAATAAAATTGTATTTTTCTTGGTACTATTCCAAATACAGTGAGCTAATAAAGTCTATTGTGACAAAACAAGTTCATTCCTTATAATAGTTATAATAGACTAATAGCTATCAAGTCAATTTTTAATAAAATTAAATAAATATAAGCATGAATGCTGCAAGATGATACTTAAATGCTATATTGCTATCTATATAATTATTGTACTAAATACGGAACTAAATAGATACACTAAAGATTTTTATAATAAGTAATAAGCATGAATGCAGCCAATTGAGTGGCCAATATTCTAGGAATTTGAATGTAACATTGTAACATTTATTAAAACATTGATAAGAATCTGATAATTTACAAATAAAACATTATTTTA